GACTTGATATGACCTCTTCCTGCCGAGAACGGTAGAAAGACCACTATCGCGTTGTTTAAAGTAAAGTAAAAAGGTCAGACTGTATTGGGAAACGTCACTAGTGAAATGATGTTTGTGAGAATATGACGGATATATTTTGAATGAGAGCAACCGATATGTCCTGGATAGTTTAATTTTGTGGACATGATGTGTTTCAAACTTTGAAGACTATTGGAAATATTTGTATGAACATGAAGCAGCCAGCATCACACATTATATTGGCTTTTATTTCATGTGAATAACATTGTCATTGCACAGCCTCTGATACAGCGTGACCTCTGTAAGTGCCGGTCAATATATGGATTGAGTAAACATTGACGAGGTCTTGAGATATATCAATGCCACACTTCGTTTCAGAATCGACCGTTTGTGTTGTTCTCTCATTATTATCATTGTGCGTGGTTTATTTGAATTTATATATTGCAGCTGTTGGCGCATTTGTCGCTTTTTATTTCTAACGTGTTGATTGAAGGATTCACAGGCTACGTGATCAATAACCTGCTGAGTGATGTGGTGATTGGGTGTGTGCACATGGTCTAGCAATATCCCAGCTGTACCACAGCGAGGTACAACCACAAGACGCAATCACCTACGGTCATGAACATCCTTTGGTGCTCTTAACGACTGGCAACAGAAGCTAAGGCGAGTTTCATAGGGGATTACATTTAAAGACTGGCATGCAAACAGAAGAACTTACGTCTTATGCGGCTTCTCATTTGATATAACAAGTTACCTAACCCGAACACCTGGTGTCATCACTGATTTTCACTTTTCCATTCATAATACTTTCCACAGCCATTTTGCCTTTTACACCACATGGAATCTGTTTCTGAGAATTCTTTACTCTGACGTTCTTACGTTCTTTACTCTGTCATTATCCATATACTGTAGTACATATCAGCAACGTTTACCTTGGCGTCGCCTTTCCCGGAGATGTGTGGACTGTGAAACATCTGAAGAATGATGATAATTTTATGGATATACAACTTCTTTATTCTGTGAAAGGCGACGTTTCGACATAGATTCTAATGTCGTGATGTTTGCTCATCAAAGAAGTAATGAAACATCTGGTTAAACGTTCATTTTTATTTCTTTATAAATTTACGGCGTCCGGTTTAATGACATTTCAATGGTTTACAGCTCTCTCGGTTCCTGTAATTCAACCATGTCTAAGCGATTCGTGTACATGCGTGTAGTGGCATTCACAACAGTGGTGTTGGTGTGTACAATGACATACACGGAGGTGAACCATGTAGGACAGAACACACGTTTCCCACTGACATTAAACCTTGGAAGACTGTTCAAGGAAGAAGTTTATGTGCCACAGTTTCCCTGCATCGGAGCCATACATGGTGAAGACGAGGATCTCTTTTGCTTGGTAAGATTTCGATTCCTCATACCAGTTAAACTTCCAAACAAATGTAGACTACATAACGGCTGATTGAAACAAATGGCAGGCAATGGCATCGTAACTTTTGTGTTTCAGTATTGTTTTATGATAAAGTCTGTGTGTAGAGACTGGTTCAATAGATTAGTAAAACACCATCGGGATACCCAGTTCGTTTGTATATATGTGGGGCTGTAACAATGCATCGAACTATCGATGGATTGCAATTGTTGAGCAATTAATCGATGGTGGAAACGAACAACTATCGTTGCATCGATACTATGTGTGACTATCGATAGCTTAGTCATTGATGGTTATTATTATCATTAAATATATATGCTGTTTTGTATTTGTTTTAATTGTTTGACGTGCAGCTTCATTGAGTTTATGTTTTAACTGTTTACTTGATCTGGGTTTCAAAATTCTTGTCAGTCATTAAAAGAGACTGAAACTGCTTCAACTTGTTTTTAGTTCATATAAACTAAAATTCATTTGGGAAATGACTTCAAATGAGACAATTCAAGGAGAAAACAAACTATTGCAATAGTATTGCAATAGTTGGTCGCAATAGACTGTCGCTATCGTAATAGTTGTTTCCTCATCAGTAGTCACACCTGTTACCTGTCACACATAGCTGTATATATTTTAGTTAAACGTAACGTCCATAGATAGATAGATAGATAGATAGATAGATAGATAGATAGATAAGAAAGATATGATTCGTATCCTGTATGAAACAGAAATATACATGGTAATGTACTTAGTTCAAATAATGCTCAAGACTTAAATAATTGTGTTTGTGTATACAGTTTTAAAGCGTGCATGTTCATAAGACTGGTACATTTTACAACTTTCAAATCAATTATGTTTCTTTAAATCAGTCAGATTTGTATAAGTGGATTTAATAACATACAATGTTGAAAATGTGCATGTGTGGAAACTTCAGAAAAATGACATGACATTAGAAATTGTAATTCTTTTCAATACTTCTGTAATAAAATTGTTTAAGGCATTGTGGACAAATTCTGTCCAGAAGATGGGTTGGGGGCTTGTTCAAACGTCCAGTGTCTATGACAAGGGGTACAAATCCACATCTAAACAAGGCTAAAGGTCGACGGTGGTCCTCATATTTTACTTTTAAAACATACCATTCAGGCACAGTTTGCATCTTATGTTGCCTTTTAGGTATAAACTTATTGCCATTTACATTATTTCGATCATACCACAATTCTCCCGTCCATTTTTATTATCATCATCGGTAACAATCTCTCTATCTTTTTCAATTTATTTATTTCATTTTGGGAAGAGTTTAAAATGTCAGTAAGGTTATTATTAAGCTCACTTTACAGTTCCATTTCTGATGTATCCAGAGCTCATTTCTGAAAGTCGCATAAGTGTAAACCAAATGTCTCGTACAACGTATTCATACTGATGGTGATAAGCCTCATACGTTAAACCTGTCTGCAAGCCTTGTTTTCGATACGGTCCTTTCCTTTCCCCTTGACAAGTTGGCATGTCGTTAAGAACGTGATATCTTTACCATATTCCATTTGGGTTATCTTAGAGAACATTGTAGTAAAGTATGTTGTCCTTAACTTTTGTGTGTACACCTGAGAAAATACTTCACTTTGGTTGAAGAAGGGATCGTCATCTCCGGTAACGAACGCTAATTTAATTATATTGCATAAATATGGATTCTTGTTTCGTTAGCCGAACCGCCGTGATATTGCTGGAATATTGCTAAAATCAGCGTAAAAACTCATTCATTCACTCTTCAGCCGAAAAAATTTTCGATTTATAGTGTACGTTTACTGTAAATTCCACAGATAAAAGATATGTCTGGCTGATTTAGATATAGATTTATTTAGTTTCAGAGATTCTGTTATTCCTTTGGTGTGCCAGTTACTGCAGAATCATCATCTGTTTGAAGTACGGGGCTGGTTGCCTAGCCAAGTAGGGCGTGCTTGTGAGTTCCGACAGATTTAGATGCTTCTCATGGATACAATATGAGAAACCCATTTTCAGTGAGCTTTGCTTGATTTACTGCTTTAATATTGCTAACAGCGTCATAAGACAACATTCGCTCACCTAATTCATAGACCTATAAAACAAAACATTTTTCTTAATGATTTCTTAACACTTTGCATCTTGCTGTATTGCATGTTTTGTGTGGAGATATTCAATGCACGTGCAACGGCGCGCAAAACGTGAAATGTCATACCACAACATTGTTGAAATCATGTTTAACTGATAATATGTCACACTCTCTCCTTTCAATTTGGACTCAATATTGTCATGTCATGCAGTAAATTGCCAGAGGCTACAAAGTGGTAAATTATTGGCCTGAGGAATGCCGGAATGTCCATCAGACAAATTGGACATCAAGTTGGGCGCAATCCGCCCATCATTTCAAGACCCATAAACAAACACAGGGGGACCAATGACGTTAAAGATCTTCCAAGGTCCGGAAGATCCCGTTAGGCAACAATAATAGAGGATAGAGCAGTTTGGAGACTTGTTTGGCACCGTTCATGGGACTCAAGCACATCGTTAAGGCAACAGTGGTTATCAGAGAGAGCCATTTCCTGCAGGACCGTCAGAAATCAGGCAGCAGCATACAGGGTCAGAAGACCCATCAAGCGTATAAAACTGTCACCAGCTCACAAAGCAGCACAATGTGCGTGGTGTAATCAGCGTGTTTACTGGAAAATGACATCATGGTGGAGGGTTCATTTGAGTCGTTTCTTAGTGGATGGTCGAACACGTGTCGACCCGTGAAGATCCGGGATAGAATGAACCTTCAGTAACCCATGCTTTTCGGAAGAGGCGACTAACGGGATCGGGTGGTCGGGCTCGCTGACTTGGTTCCCACATGTCACCGCTGAGACCATCCGATGGTCAGCTATGAGCCCAGATGTCAATCCCATTGAGCATCTGTTGAACATTTTAGGCCGTCGTGTTCGACAGACAGACCCGCCTGTCCAGACTCTCAATCAACTGACTGCTGCTTTGCATGAAGAAAGGAACATGATTCATCAGAACCAAATCCAGATATTCATCCAAGGAATAAAGAGGCGCATTGAATCAGTTGTTAGTGTACAGGCAGGTTACACAAGATACAGATGGAATTGGACTTGCAAGCCATAATTCTTCCATGCCTCGAACAAGATACATGGTACTGAAGCGATCTGAACACAAGTAAGATATCGTTCGAGGCTTCCACAACGCTCGCTTCGCACTCACAAACATAACCCATTTAGCACGGGGTTATAGCTAAAACGGCACCACAGCAGAACGGCACCAAAATCGTTTGGCGAAAACGGCACCGTATTGGCGAAAACGGCTACTGATTTCTGAGCTAAAACGGCACAATATATAAAACACAGTATGATGTTGACTTTTATGTTTTAGTTCGTTTCATTATAACATTAGCAAGCTTATATCAACATATATAAAACACAGTATGATGTTGACTTTTATGTTTTATTTCATGTCATAACATTAGCAAGATTATAACACGTGATATAGCTGGAATATTGCTAAAAGCGGCGTAAAACCATAACTCACTCACTCACCCATTGCATTAAAATAACAAGATTATAAAGACGATAACGAAAGCACCGTCAACATAACACATAACACATGTTCACACGTCAAAGTCCATATTTGGCCGGATGCTTATATATCCCAAGAATGTCTTTTCATGAATTGCAGCAATTCACTAAACGATTGGTCCGTGGATAATCGCACATCTTGACAGTAGTTGTGACAGAGACAGGTCACCATCCTTGAACAAACTCCAAAGTTCAAATACCTCATCCTGCCTAGCTGTTGATGATCTGCGGATGTACGCCTTCAGCCTTCCTTCTTGTATAAGCCTTGTCTGGATAGGAGGCTGGCCTCATGATGGAGCTCTGGCATGAGCCTGTAGAGCCCCAGTGACTGTTCTCCCACCTTGTTATTAATTCGCCTGTGCCAGCCTGAAAAGAAGAATACATATTTTTACGTAACATTATGAAAATTGAAACCTGACAATGCAAAAATAGTATAATATTCAGTAATAATTTATTTAAGTTATTAATCTTTATTTTATTAAGAAATGAATACCTTCAACACAGTTGTTCGTCCTGACTGCGATGTTGAAGACTGACCAGGTGCGGGGGGTGAATATAGAATGGGAGATCCACTGACTCTCAAAATAGTCCATCAGCTGTCGCAGCTTGCCATGAGTTGGAACCCGATCCGAAATCTTGTGGAATAACCTGGTGACATCAGCGGCCGGAAGAAATAGCAGAGACATCAACTTTCTCATGAACTTGTGAATGTCATCGTCCTCCATGTAAGCTACCTGAAATAGTACATACACATATGAATTTATATGACATAATATAATAAATTAAATAAATGAATTAATTATATAATATCAAAATAACTCGCAATGATTGATTGATTCAAAGTATTGAACGTACCTGTAGGCCCAGCTCTTGACATTTTCGCCAAACTGCTTGAGTCAGGTGGAACAGGCATCCACGGACACGGACGTCAGGCAAAGTCTTCTTCAGGGCCTTCCAGGCAGCCTGCTCGAAGTCAAGGATGACAGTCTTGACTTGCGGTTGTTTGGGGAGAGCCTCTAGTAGCCGCTTGACTACCTTCACATAGTCCGATGTCCTTCGCCTGGGCATAATCACAAAGACGAGAGGCACAAGCTTAAAGTCCCTCCCGGCACGCACAAAAGCATGAATAGTAAGTAGTTGATGGAACGGCTTTTTAATAATCTTAAAGGTACCGTCCATGAACCACTGCCTACTCGTACTTAAGTGCTGTAATTGCCGGTCAGTGGCAAACACTAGATGCCTCTCGCCTTTGTTTCCTACGTCACACCGAAAGAAATCATCCGGCAGGAAGTTTTCATCTAACTGAAAGTAGAAAACAGAACCATTACAAATGTATTACACAATAGTGTTTATTTGAAATATATTAAAATATACTTAAATAATTACTACACTGGATTTTACACAACCATATCACAAACCTCAAAGTCCAAGGACCTAGGTTCCTTCGGCCGAAGGAGCTCCCTCGTACGGTTGGCCATCCGTACTAGGGTAGCTTGGTTTTGTCGTCCACCAGGCTTGTCAGGGTTGATATGTTTCTGTTGAGCTTCCTCAACGATGCTGGCGCCTGACATGTAGATGTTACCCACAGCATTTTCCTTCACCTGCAGAATATATAACAATTACACAATTACACAGGTCGATTAATACACTACTCAATTACAGGCCGATTAACACACTGCTCAATTAAAGGCCAATTAACAATCTACTAAATTATTGTGACTGTCAATTATTAAACAAACACGATAAATACCTCCACACTCACTTGGATTGCTGTCAACTGGCCTGGTTGGGGTGTATGGCAATGGCGGTGTTTCCCCTCTTCAAATGAAGCCCCAGAAACTGAATAACAGATGCAGGACACGTGGTCGTCTTGTTCCTGACACTGCAGCGCCAGTACGTTCGAGCAGTTGTTGATTTCTGTAACAAAAAATTATTATTATACACCGTGATGACATTCAACTCATTTATATATTATGTATTTATTTATACATTATTTCTTATACTGCCGGGTCCTGTGGAAATCTGTGCATGTTGACACCATAGCCCGACGGGTTAGGAGCAGTTGACGACAACGCATGTCTTCGTTGATGTCGAGAAATCATAAAAATGATTGCTTTATATACAACTAACTGAAAATCCTTCCTCACATGACGTCACTGCAGTGCTCTGGCGACAGATTTACGTAACCTGTCTGTGGTTTCGTTGGCGGGTGAGAGTGAAGCAAGCGACCTTTTTGCAACTTTTAATCGTTCGGTATTAATTAACTACAAGTTTTTAAAGAATCTTTCATATGTAATGGTTAAAAGAGACAAAAAAAGAAGTTTATTTGTTCTTTAAGTCTGTGCAAGATATAGTTTTGCATGAACTAACCAGATTATGCCATGACAATGTTGGCTATATTTCTCCTGAATTCTTTCATTCCACTGCAAAGTTCATATGGTATGGAAATCTTTGAGACATTTTATGCACCAGTTAATTAAAGTTGCTAAGTCTGAAAAAAAGGTGTTGCGGAATGAATTTCCATATGTATAGCAAAGTCAGAACTATTTATGTATATATCACATACCGACGTTACAGATTACAAGTGTCCTGTTTTCGTATTGTTTGAAATATTCCAGTTAAACTTTGATTAGTGTATGTTAAGTACAGTGGACAATTGCGCAGAAACTTAGTTACTTATGTGTCTGTCGTACAACTGAGGTTGGAACCGGTCAGTTCCGTGGTGACAGACAGTGTAAGTTATAGATACATATATACGTTATCAGTCTCATTTCATCCCTGTGCTCTTTTGGGGATACAGTGGTCGTAAACAGGTGGTTCCGCATGGACGCCAATTCTATCCGAAATTGTGCATTTCTGTCTCAATTGGTGGGCTAACAGTCAAAAGATCTACATTGGTATTCCACTGAGCAATGTAATGGAGGTCAGAGTGAGAGGTTAAAGTCCCACAACGAAACTATGCGATTTAGGTTAGGATTAGGATACATTTTACATAACTATTCTGTGCTGTGGCGTGTTGTGCTGTGCTGTGCTGTGCTGTGCTGAGCTGTGCAGCAATGCTCTTGTTGAGGAATTCTACATATTAACAAAACGCTACCCAAACACATTGATTCTGTGCAAACTCAAACGTTTAGATTTATGAATAGGTAGGTAGGTAGGTAGGTAGGTAGGTAGGTAGGTAGGTAGGTAGGTAGGTAGGTAGGTAGGTAGGTAGGTAGGTAGGTAGGTAGGTAGGTAGGTAGGTAGGTATAGGATGTTCTCCTGTTGCATGCTGACCAACTTGCCACATGTCACACACCACTAACTGGATAAAGATAAAATATTTTACAAATCATTTGGTGGCATTGTTTTTCGATAAAGATATAACCGTTAAAGGTGTCTTGAGGTTTATGGAAATGTTGGTCATAGGCCATGTTGATAATGAAATTGATACTTCTGTTCAGAGTCTATCATTTGGTTTTTCAGCCATACTGTTTGAAATACTAACAGACACAAGTTGCATTTCCACTTGTTGTAAATTCTAAACTCTGGCAGTGAAAGATAAAGTAGAAAGTGCAGTAAAATCACTCAAAACAAGAACGTCAGTTGGACCATATGAATTGATACCAGAATTCTTCATTTTCAGAGTGGATGTTCTTATATATACACAGCGGTGGGGTAGCCTAGTGAATAAAGCGTTGATGTTTTATGCTCCTTATACGGTTATCTCCGGGACAGAAGGTTTCACTTGTATAAAAGTCAGCACATTAACATTGAATCGAGTTGTAGATTCTCAGGTAGCACCCTATCAGCTCGTCTTTACTACTTAATCCCTCGTGTATGCTGGCTTCATGACTGGTGCAATTTGCTCTTCTTACTCCCAGCCCATCCTGTTACATACCAAGTGTTTGCCAATTACATGTTGTTGTTAATATCATAACATAATATGCATATATGCTTCTGATCACTTGGTCGTAGTCACTTTTAGCCTGATAACGGTGCAAGAATCTATTTCGAAAGGTCGTTCTATGCAATCAACAAGAAGTTATCCATAAAGATGTAGGCTTCATTATTAACCAATGTTATCATTAAAGTTGTAAGCTTCAATATAAACAAGGAGCTGTTATCCATAAAGTTGTATGCTACATTATTAACAAGAGGTTGTTATCATTAAAGTTGTAAGCTTCAATATAAACAAGGAGCTGTTATCCATAAAGTTGTATGCTACATTATTAACAAGAGGTTGTTATCATTAAAGTTGTAAGCTTCAATATAAACAAGGAGCTGTTACCCATAAAGTTGTATGCTACATTATTAACAATAGGTTGTTATCATTAAAGTTGTAAGCTTCAATATAAACAAGGAGCTGTTATCCATAAAGTTGTATGCTTCATTATAAACAAGGAGCTGTTATCCATAAAGTTGTATGCTTCAATATAAACAAGGAGCTGTTATCCATAGAATTGTATGCTTCATTATAACAAGGAGCTGTTATCCATAGAATTGTATGCTTCATTATAAACAAGGAGCTGTTATCCATAGAATTGTATGCTTCATTATAAACAAGGAGCTGTTATCCATAAAGTTGTATGCTTCATTATAAACAAGGAGCTGTTATCCATAGAGTTGTATGCTTCATTATAAACAAGGAGCTGTTATCCATAGAGTTGTATGCTTCATTATAAACAAGGAGCTTATAAACAAGACAAGAGCTGTTATCCATAGAATTGTATGTATGCTTCATTATTAATAAAGAATTGTATGCTTCATTATAAACAAGGAGCTGTTATCAATAGAATTGTATGCTTCATTATAAACAAGGAGCTGTTATCCATAGAATTGTATGCTTCTTTATAACAAGACGTTGGTGTCCATTAAGTTGTAACCTTCGGAACTATCATCAGATAGTTGTTGCTGCAGCTGACATATTGTCTCTGTTGTTAAATCCATCAACATGAATGAATGAATGAATGAATCTCTTTATTTCCTCCAGATTATATTCCGAAGATCATTATAAACATGTACATGAAATATTTACAGCAACATCATCACAGCAATATATTCACAACACATTCATATAGTCATATATATGTACAAAGAAAAGATGAAAGGTCTAGAATGCACAGTTTAGTGAGGGAAGCAAGGAATATAGGTATTTACAGAAGAGGACAATCATACATCTCCATGACATTTCATCAATATCGTTAGTAACTAGTAGTTCACCCCCAGAAAATAGTGATAACATTTCATCTTCAGATAATAACTCTATTTGTACATAAACATCCACATCAAAGAGATCTATAAGTTTTGAAAAGAAATTATTTCTGTTGTACATATAGTGTTCACAGTGTAAAATTATATGGCAGTCATAATCATTACAATATCTTTTGCAGAGTTCACAATGTTTTGAGAATTTTCCCCTTGAGCTGATTTGTACACAAAACTGTAATATATCTTTAAACTGTGGGTAAATATACATCAAACAATACAATCTATGTACACCAAAGAAATTGTGGGTCAAGCGATATCTATTCATATCGTGCCTTACACACACGTGAGAAATCCATCGTTCAGTTTCAGATTTATTTATGCAATTAATAGTTATTCTTCGCCATGACGATTTACATGGAAACCTTCCAAAATCGAGATAGTCACTAAGATAATTGAAGAGACTGTATTTTAAACTGGTTTTAATAAGTATGTCACATATACTGTGTAAGACAGCTGTTCTGTTTTGAAAGGTGGCTAAATGTACACAGAAAATATCCTTAAATGAAGAGTTACACTTGCTGTTGCACAGCTTGCCG